GACGGTCAGCTACATGGGAGTTCAGCAACATAGCCATTACGCTAACTGCTGGTTCCAAATAAAACAATTCTTTAAAAAAAAAAAGAAGCAATGTGGATCCCGTCACAGTGAGGGGGGGCCTTCCCCACTAGCAAAGGACCGTTTGGTTTTTAAAAAATTATTTATTTATTTTTAATTATTATTATGTTCTAATTTGACCAGAGGAAGAGAGAGAGAGAGGGAGAGAGAAAGCGAGAAAGAAAGCCTCCAGGTCTGGGACTCGAACAGTGGTTGGCCGTGTGGGAGTCAGCACCTTTTACCACCATGCCACCTGCAGGCTCCCAGGGCTGGTTTAGCTGTCTGCTTTAGAGTAGGTAACAGCAGTGGCAGACACTGGGAGAAAGGTACGTGGAGCCCTTGTACTACTTGTGCTCAACGACCCCTCCCCTCAGGGGCCACTCCCAACCCCCTTGTCAATAGTGCCGCTACCTTCTTGGTTCCGTTGTCCACTCACACGTTACCTCTCCAGACAGCACAGCGTATTCAAAAGGGCTGCTAGATTCCGCAAATAAACACATAAGATACCCAGTTCAACTAGAGCTTCGGCTAGACAGCGAGTAATCTTTTACTGTGGTATGTCCTAAGCAGCGCACACAGAATTACGCATGCTTATACTAATGCATTATTTGTATATCTGAAATTAAACTTTAACTGGACCTCCTGTATCTTACCTGGCAACCCAGGTTTTCTTAAAGTTATTTATTTATTTTATTCATGATAGGGAGCACATGTGCAAGAAAGAGGGCGAAAGAGAGAGAGGAAACACCCTCAGCAAGGTCTCGACACACCTTGCCCTGGCCCTGCAGGCTAGGCTCCTTAGGAGTTGCGCATGCCCGCCACACCTGGAGTGTTTTCAAGCTGTCCTGGTAACCTGAACCACCAGTTGGCCATATGGCTTTGGGTACTGCAGTTCAGTTTGCCACTAACTATGCCACCAGGCTGGGCCCGTCTCCAGCTTTGAGGAATGGCCGCCGGGTTCAGCCAATGTCTATACCAGCGTCCATACTAGCACTACTCTGCCCAGAATCCACTGTCCATGGGCTCCTCCTTTTTTGCCCCCCCCCCCGCACCGCCCCTCCAGGGTTCTGCATGCGGGCTGGGTGCACAACCCACTGATGAAACTTCTCTCCTGGGATGCTCTTCAAGACAAACACTGCGGTGATGGATTTCAGACACAGGCCCGCTTGCTTCCTTCCTCTCTAGAGTGACAACAAGGAAATGGTAAACGGTTTACATTTAATTGTCTAAAGTATGGGACAAGTCACCTCACACATGCTATAGCTGGGGTCCTGTTCCTAAAGAGTTTTGATTTCATGTTGGAAGAATAAGTTTCAGAAAAATGTCAGCATCGACAATGAAGAGCATTTTTTAAAAAGAAATTATTTTATTTAACTTTATTTATTTATTTATTTATTTATTTACTTGACCAGAGAGCAACAGAGTGAGAGAGAGAGAAAGTGAGAAAGCAAGCCTTCAGATCCAGGACTCGAACCATGTGGGAGTCCAGCGCCCTTAACCACCACGCCACCTGCTGGCCCCAATGAAGAGCCTTTTAAAAGTTGTATGTATGTACAGTCTGCTACCAGCTATTTAAATGTTTGCTTAGCAAAACGAGTAGAGATGGTACATTTGGATAATTATGGGTTGTTGCAACATGACTCCAATGCCATCGACTTCCTGAGCCTGTGCCTGTGAAGGGAGCCCCGTTACACATCCAAGGCCTGGCATGCTGGGCAGGGCTCCTAGCCCTCTGTGAGGAGCTCTTGCCCCAGGGGCTTCTGCGAGTTCTCAGAGGAGTGTTTTCTCACGCTGGGCTGTAAGCTCCAGTCACCGCAAGTGTCCTCTCCTGTTCTAGTCCCTCCTCGCCAGTGTGTGGCAATGGGAATCGGGGAGCCGACGTCCACACTGGCGTCCATACCAGCCCTGCTCTTCCTAGAAC